GTCACAGCCAAGGGCAAACCCACCCCCGTCGGTCTCATGACAGGCAGGCGCGGCAGCGACGACACGGGTGGCAAAGTCAAGGCGGCGGGTGGACGCAAAGGCAGAGACAGCGGCAATGAGAGCGGAGACAGACGACGGAGAGGCACGAGGGTCGGTGACAACAGGACGCACTGTACGGTAGTAGTCAGTAAAAGGGGTAGAGAGGGAGGCTGTAAGAGCCGACTCAGGAGGTGAAGGGAGAACAGACACAGGAGGAGTATGACGAGGACCGGAACGAAACAAGGCGGTGCGGAGGTCGGCAAGGGGAGACGAGGGACGGGCACGCGGGGGACAACGAGCGGTCCAGTCGTGCGGGACAACAGGAGGAGGTGACTGGGACTGAGGAGGAGGGAAAACAGCCGAAGACGAGTCCGGAGGAGGAAACGTAGGACCGTAAGCGGGCGGTAACTGCGGGTGGACAAGGGGAGGGGAGACCAAGGGCCCGAAGGCCACTCACTGGTGCGACCACGGGCTGCGGTGGCCGCCGCTGCTGCTGCTGCTGCTCCAGCAGGTCCAACTGCCGCAGCTCCTGCCGCTCCCGCTCCAACCGCTCCTGCTCCTCGCGCGCACGCCGACAGGCCGCCAGGAAACGCGTGTCGTGGCGGTGGGGAGGCGGAGTGCTCTCCGCAGGCGTAGTGCCCCCAGCTCCAGTCTCCTCAGAACTAGCACCCCCAGTACCAGTGTCCCCAGAGGGGGTACCACCAGGGTCAGGGTCCCCAGCTCCAGCGCCCCCGGTCCTAGCACCCCCAGTGCCAGGACCTCCAACCCCAACACCCCCAGAACTAGCACCTCCGGTGCCAGCACGCTCAGCTCCAGTGTCAACGGGAGTTGTATGTTGGCCCCGTCCTCGCTTGGGCGGTGCCGACTTCGTGGTCGGGTGTAGGGTGCAGCCGACCTGCAGCAGTGGGCGAGTTGGTCGACGAGGTTGGTCGACCTGCACGGGGAGCCACTGCATGGGCGCCGACTTCGGGAGGGCGCCAACTTCGGGTGGTCGACCTGGGAAGTCGACCAGCCCCTGTGGTCGACCTGGGAAGTCGACCAGACCTTCTGGTCGACCTGGTAAGTCGACCAGCCCTTCTGGTCGACCTAGGAAGTCGACCAGACCTTCTGGTCGACCTGGTAAGTCGACCAGCCCTTCTGGTCGACCTGGGAAGTCGACCAGACCTTCTGGTCGACCTGGTAAGTCGACCAGCCCTTCTGGTCGACCTGGGAAGTCGACCAGACCTTCTGGTCAACTGACCTGGTAAGTCGACCAGCCCTTCTGGTCGACCTGGGAAGTCGACCAGACCTTCTGGTCGACCTGGGAAGTCGACCAGACCTTCTGGTCGACCTGGTAAGTCGACCAGCCCTTCTGGTCGACCTGGGAAGTCGACCAGACCTTCTGGTCGACCTGGAGTGACGTCGACTTGGAGCTGGTCGACCAGGGGGTAGTGGTCGACCTGGGGAGGTCGACTGGAGGTGGCCGTCGACTTGGGAGGTCGACCGGCACATACCAGAGGCAGTGGTCGACCTGGTGAGGTCGATTGGAAGTGGTCGTCGACCTGCGTGGTCGACGGGCACGCACAGGAGCATCTGGTCGACCTGGATGCTCGGTCGCCCAGATTACCTGGGTGACGAGGTTCTGCGGAGGCATGCGACGTTCGCCCAGGTGATTTTGGCGAGGACGACCTCGGTGGTGGTATCCCGAGGTCGACGTGGCTGATCAGCAGCTGTCGTCAGCACGAAGTGGACTTGGTGTGTGCGCTGTGCAGGTGACAAGGCACTGCACGCCAATCATCTGCGAGCACCTGCGAAGCGGGTGCGATGCTGTACTGCGGGAGCAACGCTGGCACGCCGTCGACTTGCGCTGTTGTCACGCCGTCGACTTGCAGCGGTGGCAAGCCGCGACTCTGCACTGCTGGAGCGCGGTCGACCAAGTCGTGCTGGCACACTATCGACCGTGCTGCACTGGCAGTCGTCCTGCTTGCATGCTAGCTCTGATGTAGTCTTGCCTTGCCAACTTCATTGAACAATTGTTGTCAACTTTCTTTAGTGAAACTCTTGCCAATTCTCCCTGTGAACTAGCAAGCTGTGTGTGCACTAGGAAAACGACTAAGGACCAAAGAACGCAGAGATCACACGAGCACCCATGCCTAGCCCGTAGTCTAGCTCCCGTTGTAGTAGTTATCTCCGCATGGTGCGGTGAGCGTGGACGGCACCCGACTTACCTTTCAGTCGACTTAGTTGCACCTTACCTAAGTTGTTCGTAGGCCGGCAGCTGTGCAGTAGTCACTATGGTAGGCGCCGTAGGTGACACGGGGGTGGTGGACACCCTGGAGGCACGGCTGGAGAGCGCGAGGAGACGTCATGAGGCGAAGGAGTTCGGCGACCTCCCCTGGGCGGTCGTCGAGGCTGGCATCCGCTCCGTGTGGGCGACGGAGCACCCTCCTTCTCGGCCTGCATCTCCTCGACCGGTGAACACCGAGGGCGGCGTCGACGTGGGCGTCAACGCCGGTGGTGACCAAGTCGGCAGCAGTGCGGGAGGCATGTCGTCGAGGCAGCGTGGTGTGATTCACGCCGTTGAAGTCGGCGGCGTTCAGGTGCGAGGGATGCGGTCGTCGGCGGCTGCAGGCTCCTCGCAGGGTGATGTCGGAGGTCGACGAAGTGGGTCTCTGCCGATGTCGGCGACCCAGGTGACAGCAGGCGGGATTGCACCGAGCTACGGCTACTTCAAGTTCACGCCGGATAGGATCTTGGTCACTCCCCTGCTGGTTGGTCGACCCGACATCCTTACCTGGAAGGAAGCCATCGAGCCCCAGCTGGAGATGGCCGGGCTGATCAACTTTGCTCGCGGTACCGTGGCGACGCCGGAGGACCCCGACTTGCGTGCGGAGTTTCGCGCCGTGCAGCTGCTGACCTTCACGGTCATATCGCGGTGCTGCTCGCCGGGCGTGCAAATCGCCCTGAAGTCGTGCAGGGAGCACCTCGACGCCGGCCACCGGGCGTGGCACTTCATCGAGTCGACTTACCAAGTCACCGACGACTTGTTCATCGCCCAGCTTGAAGGGCAGCTGACGCACCTGCGTATGGGCGACCAGGAGACGGCGACAGACTACTGCAACCGAGCTCGGCGGATTCTCGCCACCATCAGGATGGCCGGCGCGGAGTACTCGACGGCGTCGTACGTCACCCATGTCATGCAGGGACTCCCGAGCAGCTACAACCTGCTAAAGCGGCTGTCGATGGCGCCGAGCACGCGGGCGACGCTCAACGAGGACACGTTGACCTCGTACATCCTGCAGGACGAGGCAATGCAGGAGGCCGAGCGGTCCCAAGAGCTCTTGGCGCAGGTAAACTACGTCGCCCCGGCGAAGCAAGGTGGTCGACCGGGGCAGCGTGGACAGTCTGGCAGCGGTGGTAGCAGTGGCTCGAAGCCGGCCAAGGAAGTCGACAAGAAGAAGTCGACCAAGGACAGCGGTCGAGGAGGAGGAAGTCGACGCCGGGAGTGCTGGCTGTGCGGCGACCCCGACCACCTCTCCTTCGAGTGCCTCGACCGCGGTGCCTCGCCGTGGAAGGTCTGGCAGTCGTCGTCCTCGTCGAGGAGGAAACCAGCCGCACAAGGAGAAGCAGTCGACCAAGCCGTCGACCTCGGCGAAGGACGCCGACTCCTCTGCGGGCGGAAAAGGGCGTGACGACAAGTCGGCGTCGTGCTCCCTGGTCGGCGTCGTGGAGCCGACCGTCTCGCTGGCGCCGGAGGCCGGCGAGGACTTCCAGGCGGTGGCGGCAGCTGTGCAGGCTAATCCGGCGGTGGTCCTGCTCGACAGCGGCTGCTCCCACCACCTGATGGGGACGAAGGACGCCTTTGTCGACTTGGGACCGAGCGGCGACGTGAAGTACGTGCGTGGCTTCAATGGGGCGCTGCAGGACGTCCAGGGTCTCGGCACTGTTGCCCTGCAAGGGGAGGCCGGGAAGCAGGTGCTCATCCCCGACGTACTGTACGTCCCGAGTGTACGGGCGAACCTCAGCTCAGCTGGCTAGCTGAAGGAGAGCGGCGTGAAGCTGCAGGAGGACGGCGACGGGATGTTGCTCGTCTCGGCGGCGGGAGACGTCCTCGGTCGGGCGTCCTACACCGGGCGAGTCCTCTGCACCGACCTGCGTCCCTGCTCAACGAGGTCGACGTCGACCAGGACAGAGGCCGTGGCCCTGCGGGCGATTGTCTCGGCGACGAAGTCGACGCCGAACCGGCTGCACGCGCGGATGGAGCACGTCGGCATGGACACCATCCTGAGCTCAGCGAAGCACGAGGTCGCCACTGGGCTGGACCTCAAGTCGACGTCGGGCACCGACTCACCGTGTGTTTCGTGCGTCGGCGGGAAGCTGGCGCGGCACACCTTCCCCGACAAGGGCTCCGACGCCGACGACGTGCTGGCCGTTGTGCACATCGACCTGTACAGGCCATTCCGCGTGGCTGCCAAGGACGGCAGCCTGTACTTCCTGCTGCTGAAGGACCGCAAGACCCGCTACGTGTGGGTGCGGCCGGTCGCCAAGAAGTCCGACGTGCTGCGGGAGTTCGAGCAGTGGCTGGTGATGGCGGAGCGACAGACCAAGAAGTCGGTGCTGATGCTGCGCTCTGACCGGGGAGGGGAGTATGAAAAGAAGAACGAGGAATGATGGCATTGAGCAGCATGAGGAGTACAAGTACCAAACCCTAGAATGTTGTACCCCATATAAGCTACCCCACTACAGCCTACACAGACTATAGTGTATAAGTTTGACACACCCCATAGGCAAAGTGGGGGAGAACAAGGGGTCACAAGACCAGTCAAGCAAAGCAAAGCAACGCAAGCTCAGGGTGGATCACAACGTCACCACACAGTCTGAGCACAAGTTCAAGGCCACAAGGCCAGTTCACATGCAAGGTTACATATATATAACGCTAAACAAGCAAGGGCAGGTATATATATGTAACAGTACAAGCAAGGTCAAGAAGTAAGCAAGTGAGGCAAGGTAGGCACAAGACCTAACAGAGTGCAGAAGCGCTGATGATCACAAGGCGCGAGTGCCTTAGTGAAGATATCAGCAGTGTTGGCCTGAGAGGCCACGTAAGCAAGGCGCAGCTGGCCACGCTGCTGCAGCTCACGAGCAAGGAAGTAGCGGAGAGCGATGTGCTTCGTTCTGTGCTCCAGTCTGTGCTCCCGACACAAGGCCAGCATGGCCTTGTTGTCTACGTACAGCACTGGAGGAGAACGAGGCGGCTCTCCCAGGTAAGTCAGCAGGTAGGTGAGCCAGCGTAACTCCTGTGCAGCCATGGCCCCTGCGTAGATCTCAGCCTCACAACTGGAGCCGAGAACAGAAGACGAGCGGGTGGACCGCCACGAAACAGAGCCGGAGCCAAGACTGAAGGTGTAACCCTGTGACGACCGCTGCGTAGCCTGGTCGTCAGCCCAAGAAGCGTCTGCGTGACCAGTGAGGACCACTGAACTCTGCCCTCCAAGCACAAGCCCCATGCCCGACGTACTGCACAAGTAGCGCAACACCCTCTTCGCTGCAGCCATGTGCTCTGGTCTGTGTCTCTAAGGAGCAACAAAGCGTGCCAGAATGCTAAGAGGGTATGCAAGGTCAGGTCGAGTGCAGGTCATCAGGTACATGAGGCAGCCGACAAGCTCTGGGTACGGGCCACTCGACTCTACGGACTCATCCGAAGGCAGAGCTGAGAGCGAGTGGCGTGTAGCCAGAGGAGTGGCCTGAGGCAAGGAGTACGTGAAGCCGAAGCGCTGAAAGACCTGCTGCACCATGTGTGACTGAGTCAGGGTAATGGTGCGCTGTGCTCTGTCCCGGGTGATCTGCAAGCCAAGGTAGCTGCGCAGTTCACCCAGGTCTGTGCACGTGTGTCTCTTCTGCAGCTCGGACTTCACGTAGGCAAGTCCAGTAGTGTCAGCTGTAGCAAAGACCAAGTCGTCGACGTACACGAGGATGTAGAACGGCGGCAAGGAAGAGTCGGTGCGCAGAAACAGCGACGGGTCGGCAGTAGAAGGAGCAAACCCAAGAGCCGCAAGTGTAGTCCTCAGTGTGTCGTGCCACTCACGAGGCGCCTGACGGAGACCGTAGACTGGCCGCCGGAGGCTCCACTTGGTGCCAGGACGAAAAGTCTCAGTGAAGCCAGGTGGGCGGCGCAGCCAGATCTCCTCGTGCAGGCTGCCCTGCAGGAAAGCAGTGCTGAAGTCAAGAGAGTGCAGCTCGTAGTCTCGGTGAGCGGCTATGTGCAGCAGTACCCGAAGAGTGGTCATCTTCGGGGTGGGAGAGAAGGTCTGAAAGTAGTCAACTCCCTGCCGCTGACTGAAGCCACGAGCCACGTAACGCGCCTTGAAGACAGGCGGAGAACCCGGCGGCCGCTTCACCCTGAAAATCCACATGCCACTGACAATGTTCGCCCCAGGCGGGGGAACCTCGTCAACGTAGGTGCCTGTGGACTTCCAGGAAGCCATCTCTGCGTCCATGGCTGCCTGCCACTGAGAAGAGTAGGGACCCTCTATCGCCTCCGCGTAAGAGCGCGGAGTCGGGATGTCAAGTGCATCCGGGTCTCCCTCAGGGGCAAGCAGCATGGACACGAGATGAGGTGAAGCAGCAGCCAAGCACTGGAACTCCTCCTGCCTGTCCTCAAGGACGTCCATGCCAAGAGCACACTCACCCCCGACGGACGGAGGACAGACAGACTCAGACTCAGCGACGAGACTGGCAGCGTAGTCTAGGCGACAGCGGGCAGCGAAGTCGACAAGCTCAGCAACCAGAGCAGACGCAGCAGTAGACTCAAAGGAAGGGTCAGTGACGACAGTAGCAAGGAGACGCGTGACAGTAGGACGCGCAGCACGAAGGGAGTCCGACTCAGGGTCAGGAAGGTCAGGAAGAGAGGACGCGGGAGGAGAAGGCAAAGGGGCACGCAGAGGAGCAGTGGAAGGATGCAAAGACATCCGGTGCGTACCGGGGACAGGGGGAGGACGCTGACGGGAACCACGACCACTAGTGCGAGCAGCGCGGACAGGCGACGCAGGGCGAGACGCAGGCTCACGACGCTCAGCAAGACCTCCAGTAGGACCAGTGTAGGGAGAAGGAGAAGGAAGCGGGGAGGCCGGCGGTAACTGCGACTCGGACTGGACAGGAGGCGGACACGCTAAGGGAGGAGCAGGACCAAGAGAGGACGGAAGACCAAGAACCTGCTCAAGGAGCGGAACGAAGTACGGCCGTGGCCGTGCAGCTCCACCAGTGCCAGCAGGAACAGCACCAGCACCCCCAACGGGAGCACCAGCACCAGGAGTGCCCCCAGCTCCAGGAGCACCAACTCCAGCACCCTCAGCAGCACCAGCGCCAGCAGCACCTCCAGCGCCAACACCCCCAGCAGCTCTAGCTCCAGTCGCACCAGCAGCACCAACGCCAGCAGCACCAGTAGCACCACCAGCTCCAGTAGGAGGAGCACCCGTAGGCCCAGCAGCTCCAGTACACCCTGTACGAGCACCTCTGGGACCCTCTGCACCAGCACCCTCAGCAGCAGTAGAACCTCCAGCGTCCGCAGCACCACCAGCTCCAGCAGCACGCCGCCAGCGCCGGGCGAACCACTCACGCAGCTCTTGTGGAGAGAGCAGCTCTCGCCGGGACGAAGCACCTGAAGAACCGCCAGGCTCAGCACTACCAGACGCCACACGAGTAGGTCCAGCACCCTCAGGCTCCGTACCCCGAGACACGGCACCCCCAGACGCAGCACCCCCAGGCACAGCACCCCCAGGCTCAGCACCCCCAGGCTCAGCACCCCCAGGCTCAGCACCCCCAGGCTCAGCACCCCCAGGCGCAGCACCCCCAGGCGCAGCACCCCCAGACTCAGCACCCCCAGGCTCAGCACCCCCAGCAGCACCAGAGTCAACAGCTACCTCGACAGGCTCGACTGCATCTACCTGGGACACACCTGAGGGAGCAGGACCCTGAGGGGGGAGGGGGTCTACCGGAGGGGGACCTGGCGTAAGGAAGAGCGGCGGGGGAGGGAGGGACGCAGTGCGGTAGGGGAAGAGACGGTAGTAGGGAACCGACTCGTCAAAGGTGACGTCCTGGGAGGACAAAACACGGCGCGAGGTGGGGTGGTAGAACTGCCAGCCAGGCGCGTCAGGAGGGAAGCCAAGGAAGACGCAGGGAACAGCACGAGAGGACAGCTTGTCCGCAGACAAGTCGCGGACAAACGCCCTAGATCCCCAGACACGGAACGCAGACGCATCGCCAGCCTTCCCCGTCCACAGCAAAGCAGGGGAGGTCTCCGGCATGGAGACCCGGGGGTGAAGGTTGATCTGATGCGCCGCGTACCGAACCGCAAACGGCCACAGAAAATGGGGAGCAGCCGCATGGATCATGGAGGTACGAGCGACGTCCATGATCATGCCGATGCGGCGCTCAGCAATCCCATTCTGCTGCGGGGAGTCCGGAAGCGTGAAGGTCTGGCGGATGCCTCGTGCACGACAGAAGGCCCGCAGAAGGTCAGAGGAGAACTCTCCGCCTCTGTCGGAGTGCAGACGCAGAACAGGAAAGTCCGTGCCGAAACTCTCCTGGAGCTGGAGACGAGCTGCGCGGATCCAGGCGATCAACACCTCAGTGACCTCACCCTTGCGGCGCAAGGGGAAGACTGCGGTGTAACGCGAGTAGTCGTCAACCACCAGCAGGAAGTAACGCTCGTGACCCTGTCCACGGACGCGGGCTGGGCCCCACACGTCCATGTGAAGCGTCTGCAGCGGAGCCTCTGTCGGAGGAAACTCGGAGGAGTGAGGGGCAGCGCGCTGCCGCCCCTCGACGCAGGGAACGCAGGTGGGGGCAGGCCCCGGAGGAAGGGGAGGGAGGGACCGGGGGAGGCCAGAGACAAGAAGACGGGACGCCATGCCTCGAAGACGAGGCAGGGAGGGGTGACCAAGGCGGTGGTGCCAGAGGAGAGTCCGGTGGGACAGGAGATGACACGAGCAGGGGGCAGACTCAGGACCAGACCTGGACGCCGCAGCAAACACCTGACCCGACGCTGCTACCTGAGCAGACTCAGTGACTGGAGGAGACTCAGTAGTCAGTGTGTACAGGCTCGACCCCGGCCGACGGGTAAACGTGGCCAAGTGTCGGCCTGTGTCCGCACACGTGCAGTGGGTCACCCGCTGACGAGCAGGGGTGAACTGGTCAACTCCTGCATCCTGTAGGTCAGCACCCGCCACCAAGTTCGTAGAGAACGAGGGGAGGTAAAGACCCGACAGGGAGCCAGACGGGACCGCTGGACACGGTAGGACAGTGGAGTAGTGGGCAAGGACAGGACCCCCAGAGGGGTCTGCCAGGGAGACTGCAACGGGCCGACTGAGCGGCGTGAGAGTGGTGCAGTCTCGAAAGAAGGAGCGGGAAGCACCCGAGTCAAGGGTGAAGGTGTGGGTGTCCGGTGACGACGCAGTACCTGAGAGCGCAGACTCACCGGCACCTGGGGCGGCAGACGCACTGGCACCTGGAGCAGCAGCCTCACAAGCACCTAGCGCAGCAGCCTCTATGCCTGGGTCAGGCGGAAAACACCGGTAACAGTCACCCTCATCACTAATAGTCACAGCATACATGGCAGCAAGAATAGCATCATAGTCAAGATCAAAGATCGCAACACCCGCCCTAGACAGCTCGCCCCAGCGAGGGATCTCAGTAGCGTCGGGGAACTGGTGGCGCCACGCGTCCGTCAGACGGCCGAAGCAGCGCTGGGTGGAGTGCGCGCCCCCACACTGCTCACCCGCCCGGTCGCCGGTACGGAGAACGTAGGTACAGGGGCCAGCACCCCCGCCCCGCTGACGAGCAGCGTACCACTCACGAAGCTGCTGGGGGGAAGGGGTCTCACGAGTACGCTGCTGCTGCTGCTGCTGCTGGCGCGTACCACCACCGGAGCCAACCCTCTGCGCAGCGCCACCCCGACCAGCTCCACCGCCTCCGCCGCTACCTCCTCCAGTACCGCCACCTCCGCCACCTCCGCTCCCACCGCCACCGCCGCCTCCACCTCCACCTCCAGTCCCGCCACCGACGCCCCCACCCCCGCCACCACCCCCACCGCCACCCCCACCCCCTCCACCACCTCCACCTCCGCCTCCACCGCCCCCGCCAGCTCCTCCAGCACCCTTGCCCCCCTTGCCCTTGCCAGGGCGGCGTCTCCCGCTAGGGGCAGACGCCGCAGCGACCGACTCAAGACCAACGAGGTCGGCCGCAGCAGCAGAGGCAACAGAGGGCAAGAGGGGAGAGGGGGAGCACCCCTCAAAGACAGGGGCACGAGGGTCACCACGAGAGGCTCCTACAGCGACTATGCTCTTCTCTGCCGCTAGAAGGCGCTCCTCGAGGAGGTCAACGGTGAGGGTGGTGGGGCAAACAGAGAGGAAGTGGTCCCTAACCGGGCGAAGGGTGTCAGGGAGCCGGGTGACTATGTAGTAGAGGGTGATGTACATGGGGGGGGGGTTCTTGGCGTAAAACTCAGCAGGAAGCGCAGCGCGGTAGCGAGTGTCACTAGTGCGAAGGTGCGTAATGAGGTCAGCGACAGTGGGAAAAGCGGCGAGGTCAGGGAAAAGGTACGGCAGGATGAGGCGGCTAAGTGCAGCAGTGGCAGGGGAAGAGTAGCGTGCAACTACAGCGTCGTACAAGGTCTTAGCACTCTTGTACTGGCTAAAGTGCGCACGCTCAGCGGTCGGCAAGTGGCGGCGCACAGCAAGGCGGGCAGCAGCATCGCGCGTGGCCCACTGGGAGCGAACAGTGGGGTCAGCATCAGCAGCAGGGGCAGGAGAGGCACCAGAAGTGAGGTCAAAGAGGGAGAGACCGTCTGCCCTATCGCACTGTAGGAAGAGCTGCAGATCATCTATCCAGACCTCAAAGTCTACAACTCGACCCTCAGCGTCAAAGGTGAGAACACTGGGGGTGGCCATGACAGCAGTGTGAGCAGTAGGCTAAGGGCAGTGCAGTGACAGAGGCGCTGCTCTTACCGGGCAGGCGAGAGAGACCAAGACTTGCCGGGAATGGCGGCTCGGCGGCAACGGCGGCTCGGCGGCTCGGCGGCTCGGTGGCTCGGCGGCTCGGCGGCTCGGTGGCTCAGCGGCTCGGCGGCAACGGCGGCTCGGCGGCTCGGCAGCTCGGCGGCTCGGCTACAACGGCGGCTCGGCGGCTCGGCGATCCGGCGGCTCGGCGGTTCAGCGACTCGGCGGCTCGGTGGTAGGGCGGCGTCAGGGTCCCGAGGGGCGGCAGAACCGCGGACAGGCGGCGGCGTGGTCGCAAGGGGCGGCGTGGTCGCAATGGGCGGCGACGGGGCCGAAAGGGGGGCGGCGACGAGGCCGCAAAGGGCGGCGACGGAGGCCGTAGGAGGCGGCGACGAGGCTGGAAGGGGGGGCGCCGGCGGGGCCGCAAGGGACGGCTACGGGGCCGCGAAGGGGGTGCGGCGACGGGGCCGCGACGGTCGGCGATGGGGCCGCGAAGGGGAGGGTGGCGACGGGGCCGTAAGAGGCGACGGGGCCGCAGAGGGCGGCGTCGGGGCCGCGATGGGCGGCGCCGGGGTCGCGTAAGGGTGGCGACGGGGGGGCCGCCAAGGGAGGCGACGGGGTCGCTAAGGGCGGCGACGGGGCCGCTAAGGGTGGCGACGGGGCCGCTAAGGGTGGCTCACCGATCGCGTCTAGGGCAGGGGCGACGCGCGCCCCGGGCAGAAAAAAAAAATTCGATATTAGTGGGCCCTAGGAAGAAGTTCCCACGAGGGAACCTGCACTGAAACCATGTGAAAAGAAGAACGAGGAGCAGCATGAGGAGTACAAGTACCAAACCCTAGAATGTTGTACCCCATATAAGCTACCCCACTACAGCCTACACAGACTATAGTGTATAAGTTTGACAGGGAGTTCCTCGGAAAGGACTTCACCGCCCTCGTGGACGGCAAGGGGATCCTCCACGACCTCACCTGCCCATACACTCCGCAACAGAACGGCATGGCGGAGCGGGAGATGAGGACGGTGGTGGAGTCGGTGCGGACGATGCTGCTGCACATGGGCGTCCAGCACCACTGGTGGCACCTCGCTTTGCGGCAGGCTGTCTGGGTCCGCAACTGCCTGGAGAGGTCGGCGACGCCGGGGACGACACCGTACCAGTTGCTCACCGGGAAGAAGCCCGACTTGTCGCTGGCGCGCGTGTGGGGCTGCATGGCGCAGTTCCTCGTCCCCGAGCAGCAGCGTGGTGGGAAGCTGAAGCCGAAGGCCAAGTGGGGCCTTCACCTTGGCGTGTCGGAGGCGAGCAAGGGCTGGGAGCTCCTCGACATCGCTGACAACCGGGTGGTCACCACGTCGGACGTGGTGTTCTACGAGGACATGTCGCTGGAGGTGTGGAAGTCGGAGCACGGGCCGGTGTCAGGACGGACACCGACCACTCCGCCCACCAACACCTCGCAGGCAATGCTGCCTCTGCTCGCGGAGGTCGGTGAGCTCGCTGCTGGGGACATCGAGGTCGACCATCCTCCTTCCCCTCCTCCCACGACCCATGTTTCTCCCCTCGTGGCCGACCTGCGTGAACTAACTCGGGTGTCGGCCTCCGGCGATGAGGGGAGTAGTGGGACGTCGCCTGCGGCCAAGAGCATCGCCGGTGGCCGACGTGACGAGCAGCAAGTCGACGTGGGAGTGAAGTCGACGTGGATAAGGGAGGAGCAGGTCGAGGAGGTGCAGCCGACTTGGGTGAAGCCGACAGGGGAGCAGGCAGCAACAAGGCCGACCAAGGAGCAGTCGGCGACCTGGCAGTCGGCAGGGGAGGAATCGGTCGGGACGCCGACCGAGGTGCAGCAGGACGACGAGGACGATGAAGGGGAGCAGTTGGGCGACGAGGAGTCCACCGACAGTGACGTGGGAGAGGCCCAGGCTGGACCACGGCGTACAGGCCGCCTTCGGAGGCCTCCCGACTTCTTCGTCCCGGCTGCCTTCACCACGGTGTATGACGTGGTCGACGAGGACGACGACCTGCTGTACGAGGACGCTGATGAGGATGAAGACCTGCTGGAGCTCGACCCCGACATGCACGCCGACCCCGAGCACCGTTGGGATATCTCCACGATGACGGTGAAGGAGGCGCTGGCTAGCTGGAAGGGTCCGGCGGTGAAGGCCGCCATGGAGGAGGAGATCCGCAGCCTCATCGGCATGGGGACGTGGGAGCTGGTCGAACGCCCACCCGGGGTCAACATCATGAAGAACCGGTGGGTGTTGACGACGAAGTACCGCATCAACGACACCGTCGAGCGTGAGAAGGCGAGGCTGGTCGTGAAGGGCTTCACGCAGGTGTATGGCGCCGACTACGACGAGACGTACGCGCCAGTGAGCAGCTACGTCACGCTGCCGATTTTCCTCAGTATCGTCGCCGTGCTCAACCTCAACCTGATGCAGCTCGACATGAAGAACGCCTTCCTGCAGAGCAAGCTCGACCGGGTGCTGTACATGTCGCAGCCGGACTACTTCAACGACGGAACCGGCCAGGTGTGCAAGCTGCTGAAGAGCCTGTATGGGCTGAAGCAGTCGCCGCTGCTGTGGTACATGGCGCTCAACGACTCGCTGGTCGGCGCCGGTTGGAAGAAGAGCCAGGTCGACGAGGCCCTCTACTTCAAGGTCGGCGACGACAAGGTGACCTGCTGGGTGCTGGTCTACGTCGATGACCTGCTCGCCGCCAGCAGCAGCCCCGAGATGCTGAAGGAGCTGAAGGAGCTGCTGGAGGCCGCCTTCGAGCTGCGCGAAATCTCGCCGGTGCAGAAGTACCTCGGGCTGGAGATCGTGCGCGATAGGTCGGCGGGGAAGCTGTGGCTGCACCAGCAGGGCTACGCCGACAAGCTGCGTAGGCGTTTCATCGATGAGGAGCAGGGCGGTCAGACCTCGAAGACGCCGGTGTCCATCGACGCCTACGCCGAGCTCACCTTCGATGACGAGGAGGCACAGGAGCGCCAGGAGGAGGAGTACCGGCAGAAGGTCGGCTCGCTGCAGTTCGCGGCGACGACGACGAGGCCGGACATCGCCTTCGCCTGTAGCAAGCTGGGGAGCGGCCTCACGGTGAGGAGCGACCAGCATTGGCGCGAGGTCGACCGCTGCCTCGCCTACCTCGCCAGCACGCGCGACACCGCGCTCGAGTTGGTCGGCTACGTGGACGACGACGATGCCGGCGACAAGCAAAACTGGACGAGCACGGGCGGCTACGTGTTTGTCTACGGAGGGGCCGCAGTCTCCTGGTCGAGCCAGCGCATCAAGTGCGCGACGCTGTCGTCGACCGAGTCGGAGTACGTGGCGGCCATCGAAGCTGGGAAGGAGGGACGCCGACTTCGCTTCCTCCTTGCGGAGTTCCGGCAGCTGGACGCCGGGAAGCCGACTGTCCTTCGGGTGGACAACAAGTCGGCCATCACGGTTGCCGAGGGCATGGGGTTGACGGGCAACCTCAAGCACATGGAGCGGCGACAGGCCTGGCTGCAACACATGGTGAAGCACGGGAAATTTGTGTTGAGGTACATCCCGACCACCGAGCAGCCGGCCGACTTCCTGACAAAGGCGCTGCACTACCCGGCCTTCAACCGGTGCTCCGTTGCGATCGGCCAAGTGTGCCTGGCCGAAGTCGGCGACGGTGACGACGACGTGCAGCAGTAGGTGCCATGCCCTCTTGCATGGCTAGTGCGGTGGACAAAGTGCTGTGGTTTGGGTGCACGTCGACGAGCTTGTCTCCGAGAAGTACTGTCGTGTGGGCTGGGGGCCCAAGCGTGAACGCGGCAGGGGAGTGTCAACGGGAGTTGTATGTTGGCCCCGTCCTCGCTTGGGCGGTGCCGACTTCGTGGTCGGGTGTAGGGTGCAGCCGACCTGCAGCAGTGGGCGAGTTGGTCGACGAGGTTGGTCGACCTGCACGGGGAGCCACTGCATGGGCGCCGACTTCGGGAGGGCGCCAACTTCGGGTGGTCGACCTGGGAAGTTGACCAGCCCCTGTGGTCGACCTGGGAAGTCGACCAGACCTTCTGGTCGACCTGGTAAGTCGACCAGCCCTTCTGGTCGACCTGGGAAGTCGACCAGACCTTCTGGTCGACCTGGTAAGTCGACCAGCCCTTCTGGTCGACCTGGGAAGTCGACCAGACCTTCTGGTCGACCTGGTAAGTCGACCAGCCCTTCTGGTCGACCTGGGAAGTCGACCAGACCTTCTGGTCGACCTGGTAAGTCGACCAGCCCTTCTGGTCGACCTGGGAAGTCGACCAGACCTTCTGGTCGACCTGGGAAGTCGACCAGACCTTCTGGTCAACCTGGTAAGTCGACCAGCCCTTTTGGTCGACCTGGGAAGTCGACCAGACCTTCTGGTCGACCTGGAGTGACGTCGACTTGGAGCTGGTCGACCAGGGGGTAGTGGTCGACCTGGGGAGGTCGACTGGAGGTGGCCGTCGACTTGGGAGGTCGACCGGCACATACCAGAGGCAGTGGTCGACCTGGTGAGGTCGATTGGAAGTGGTCGTCGACCTGCGTGGTCGACGGGCACGCACAGGAGCATCTGGTCGACCTGGTTGCTCGGTCGACCAGGTTACCTGGGTGACGAGGTTCTGCGGAGGCATGCGACGTTCGCCCAGGTGATTTTGGCGAGGACGACCTCGGTGGTGGTATCCCGAGGTCGACGTGGCTGATCAGCAGCTGTCGTCAGCACGAAGTGGACTTGGTGTGTGCGCTGTGCAGGTGACGAGGCACTGCACGCCAATCATCTGCGAGCACCTGCGAAGCGGGTGCGATGCTGTACTGCGGGAGCAACGCTGGCACGCCGTCGACTTGCGCTGTTGTGACGCCGTCGACTTGCAGCGGTGGCAAGCCGCGACTCTGCACTGCTGGAGCGCGGTCGACCAAGTCGTGCTGGCACACGGTCGACCGTGCTGCACTGGCAGTCGTCCTGCTTGCATGCTAGC